ACAGGGCCACAATCCAAACACCTCCTGATCCTGCCTGGAAGCTTGGCTATCTCCTATGAGCCACTGGGAAGATACTAAACATTTGTAAGCACAGGTATGAACAGCATCGTTGGATTTGCATGATGTGAAAAGTTCTCTTGCAGGGAAATTATTACACTCTGGCTATATTCTTTTTATTTTTTAGGGTGTAATATAGAGCCTCGTGTTTATAGCTGAATGAAAACTGGATTTTGTAGCAAAACATGTCTCAAAGCACAGACTAACAATCTGACCCAAGTTACCCATTGCTGCTTGCCTGGATGGGGATTGGGAAGAGAAAGGAGGCTTCCAGCTTATGGGAATCACCCGCAGGGCTGGCAGTGGGCTCGCAGCCTGTGGGTCAGTTTCCTTCAGTCTGGACCCAAGGAGTTCTCCAGAAAGCACAGGCTGCAGCCAGCCGCACACAGCCTCTGCCCCAAAGCCCTCCATGGCCATGTCTTCACAAACACTACCGGGAAACTTCTCTTGATAATCACTATATGTAACATTCAAGAAAAAACAAAGCGTGTCCTGGGAAAATGGGAAACAGAGCTGGCTACAAATTCAGAATCCCATAAAAAGCCTAACTAACACATTCTCTCTACTTTAACCATTTGTTTTTTTGTGGCCCCAAAAGCAGGTTTTGCTATTTGAAAAGTGCACAATTTTGGAGATCTAGTCAAAAGCTTGCTGTGTCTCATGGGGTTCTGAGAATGGGACACTGAATTTGAGAAGTCGGCCACGTCAGCCAACAGCTGAGAGAGAGCACTGCGTGCTGGGTGCCCCTTTAAGAGAGTGTTCTCTCAGCTCCTTCCGGAATTGCCTAGGGCTAAGCCTCTCTAGACACAGTGCTGATTACCATAGTACAAGAGGGAAAAAAGAGGACTCTTTTCAGAGATATTGTATCCAGATTTTGACATTTTATTTATCTCAACCTTTAAGCTTATCTTGCTTCAATATGGTAAAACCATCATGCTCTACAAATCTCCAAGCTTAATCCACTATAAGGTAGAGACAATTTTAAGGTGCGATTAATTGTTCTGATTCAGATCATCCCTCCTTCCTCCCCCTCTGACTCGCTGAGTGAACAACAACAAAAAACAAAACAAAATCAACAATGTGCTCCAAGATTAAGGTGTAATCAATGACAAGACCAACTGGGAGAGAAAGCTCATTAATGTGGTACAGCGGCATCTCACTCTGTCATCCCTGGCTTGTTGATCCAGTGAGGTTTAAAGACCTAGGACATCACTACAAGGTCAACTGTCTCTAGGCCTGGCCCTATTTTAATACCCCAAGAGTACCACCTGCCTGCTTTTGACTATCCAGCTGGTAAAACTTGTAAAGAATAAGGGTTTAATTGAAAAGGCATGTATCTATGTGTTGCATGAGAAGCTATTTCTCTGTTGCCCAGTATTTTTTAGGAGTAGGGCAAATGCTGCTCAGAATGTTATAGTGCTTAGAAAACTCTATTCATTTTATATATATATATATATGTGTATATATATATATATGTTATGTAATAATAATATATATAATTATATATGCAACCTTCTGTTTATTTACTTAGGTATAGAAAGATGCACCAAGAGACAGAGCTCTGAAAGAGAGGTAAGCAATAAATGTATGGCGTTTACTAACATGTCTGTAGGTCTGTGGGCTACTACTCAGTAATTGTATGACCTTGGGCGCACTAAAAATGAATTAAAAGAAAGTAAAAATGCATATCTAGCACTTAGCATCATGCCTGACACATGGTGAATAAATGCTCAATAAATGTTTTTATTATTATTGTCACTGTTACCATTATCCCCATTATCATTAAACCAGCAACGTACTGGGTTTAAAAACTTAAAGTTGAGAAGAGAAAATAGACACATGAGCAAAGTAAAGAAGCAACACTCATTTCTTTATTATAGCACTCATGGTTGTATGGCAGTTTGTCTATTTACATTAGATCTACCTCTGGTATCTGGCAGTTCTGGGTGGCTGCTTAAGCACATTACTCAATACAATTATATGGGGCAGGTTACATGCAAGTACATTTCTCTCTTACCTCAACTGTTCCTACATCTTTGTCCCCCTCTAGAGAAGAACTCCTGGAGGACAGAGTCTATCTGCTCTTGATCTATGCACACACGCACCTTTCTCTCCCTAGACCAGAACAATCCAAGGCATAAAAGAGTTAATCGATACATCTTTGTTGAATAAATGAATGGGAAAGAAAATTATCTGTGGACGACCAAGCAGCAGAGATAAAATTATGTGCCCTGCTCTGTTCACAAAGACTTACTGAGCATTATCTATGTGCTAAGTTCTGTGCTCAGTACTACGGACATCATGGGGAGGTCCAAGACCTGGCTAGGGTTGTAGCCTCCAGGTTTTGGTATAGGCAGGTTTTCTGAGTAAAAAGTACAAGTTTGTGCAGGAGAAAGTGAGTCCATGCTTGGTCATCTAGTTTCCCTCAAGCAGGGCTGGACTAGATGACTTGGAACCATGAGGCTCTCGCTTCCTGATCCCTGTCCTGCACCCATGCAGGCCTGCCCCATGGAAATTCTGCACGATGAGCTGCTCGAAAATGCCAGTCCTACCAAAGGACTGGGAAGTACTATAAAAGTTTTCCTCCTCATTCTCTCTTTTCTCTTCTAAATTTCATTTTCAGTAAGGTTTGTGCTTTTCCTATGAAAGTACTAAACTGACCAGTTTCTAACAGTATAGTGTACCCACAGTAGTCATTTCCAATACATGACATATATAGCAAATGGCTGTTGTGGGTATTTTAGAAAAGTATAAAATTACATATCTATGGGTATAATATATGTGTATATGTATATGTGTATATGTCTATATCTATCTATCTCTATATAGTTGTCTCTCAGGATCTGTGGGGGATTGGTTCTAGTATCCCCCATGGATACCAAAATCTACAGATGATCAAGTCTTTAATATAAAATGGTATAGTGTTTGCATATAACTTATGCACATCCTCCCATATACTTTAAATCATCTCTAGGTTACTTATAACCTAATCCAATGTAAATGCTATGTAATCGTTGTTACACTGTATTGTTTTTTTTTCCTATAACTTTATATTTTTATATGTGTTTTTTATTGTTTCCTCCTTATTTTCGATCTGTGATTTGTTGAATTTGAGGATATGGAACCCATAGATACAGAGGGTTGACTGTATATATATGATCATGCGTTGCTTAATGACACAGATACACAGATATGTTCCGAGAAACGCACTGTGAGGTGATATCACTGCTGCGCAAACATTATAGAGTGTGTGTACACAAACCTAGATGGTATAGCCTACTACACACCTAGGCTATGTGGTATAGCCTGTGCTCCTGGGCTACAAACCTGTACAGCATGTTACTGTACTGAATACCACAGGCAATTATAATACAATGACAAGTATTTGTGTATCTAAACACACCTAAGCATAGAAAAGGTACAGTAAAAATACGGTATTATAATCGTATGGGACCACCATCATATGTGTGGTCCACTGTTGACTGAAATGTCATTATGCGGTACATGACTGTATATATCCTCCAGAAAAATTGACCCTAAGATTGAAAACCCAGCAGGCCATTCTTGCCATACCTTCCCAAGCATCAGCCCAAGGAGACTGTTCCATCAGAGGGGAGGCCTGATACTAATGAAATGTGATGCTATTTTTATTTCATTAACCCCCTCCCCTAAGATTGGAGAGAACATTCTTCCTGGGCTGAGGCATCAGTAACAATGCCCCATCAGAGCCTGAGCTTCAGCAGTCTGGGACAACCTGCTCCTCAGGCACCCCCAGCATCCCTTCCCACTGCACAGGTAGAGTTACAGCTGCTAAAAGCCTCTGTCCCACTGAGACAAAACTGCACATCTTTTAATTTTCTAACACGCAGACTACACTACATGTGACTGATGCACTGCAGAAAGAAATATGGCTTTTACTCTTATATTTGTATGTATGTTAGAGAAATTTATCAGGGAAGCATAAACTCACTCAGAGTCTTGGAGATTCTGATGAAAAGTGACAGAATTTAAACAATACAGTAGGTACCAGGCTCTTAACGCATTAAAGAATTGCACTTTTATTAAGGCTCCTACCAAACTTTCCACACTTTCAGTTACATCACTGAATATTATCCCTGGGGTTGTCTCCATCCTATCCCTGGCTCAGGGATTATCACCCGATCCAGACCTAGCTGGTCAGAGGCAGTGATCTCCAGGGCTTCAGAGATTAGTTCAGGTAAGGGCACCTGACACAGGCTGGTGAGAAGGGCCAATCAAGAGTAAGAGCAACAACAAAGCAGAGTTTTAGAAACAAAGGGAAAGAAAAGAATATATTGGGTTTCTGAGGAGTTTCCCATCTGTGGTTTCTGACGCTGGCAGCCCAACGCGCATTTGTGCTGATATTCAAGGAGTTAGTCTTCCCCTTAAGAACTTCTACCCCTTCATTTGAAAAAGTCTTTACTGCACACTCCATAGGTGTGAGGCGGTACAGCGTGAATCCCAGAGACAAGGGTGTACATATGAGCCGTGAGCTGCTAAAGAGCCCAGGACCACGACCATAGGGGGGCTGCTAAAGAGGATTACACTGAGTACCAAGCCTGGGGTCTGCAGACCCAAGAGGTTGTGTTGACCCCTTCTGCAAACAAACCTCCACTCCCACTTCTGCTCCAATATCTCACAGGTCAGTGAGAACCCTGGGAACCTCAATGCATAAACACAACCTATTGAACAGTTTAGCAAGAAAATCTGACCAAAAGAAGGTGTCTATAAAGAAGGTCTGGCTCTGGCCTGCCTGGAGATAAAGCCCAACCCTCCCATCGCTAAGGGAAACAGAAGGAACGGAGGAAGCAAGGAGTGCACGTGACCAGGAACCTGGTCAGACCAGGAGAAAGGAGTGGGAGAAAGCAGTAGCAGATATCCTGCTTAAATAACATGGTAATTATTGGCTCAATCTATCTACTTACCTCCAAAGTGAGCTCTCGGTGATGCTCCCCAGGTTATAGTCGTAGAGCTTTGTCAAGATGAGAATCACCTGAAGGCAAAAGAAGACCTCAAGGTTAGTCTCAAACAATTACAATCTCTTAGAACTCAAATGGCTCAAGGGAGTGTTTAGGATTCCTTTAATGGGTGCTTAACATGAATGAATTGTTACAACCTTTGCTATGCTGCTGAAGGAAGGGTTGGCCTTAGGCCCATCCTCTCCTCACCTTCCTCCATATCTCCCTGCTGTAAGAGTTAACCTGTCCCTCCAGGCATTTCTTACCCTGGTGGGTTTAACGCTTCCCAGAAGGACTGGCTGGTGGAGCTCAAAAATGCACCCCACAAGGTAGCCACTGAGCAGATGGTTGGGAGAGAGGAAGGTCAATGATGTAGTTCCCAGCCCTAAAGCTGGGCCATACAGGCAGGTTACTTAACCTCTTTGAACCTCAATATCCCCATGTATTAAAGGGGTGAAAGGTAATTACTATCTCCCAGAAAGAATTGCTGTGAGAAGTTAAATTAGGTAAGAAGTGAAAGTTATGTATCAATTAGCATGGGGTTCTTAAATGATAGTTCCTTTCCTTTTTCCTCTGTGAATCTGGTGTTAAATGTTTCTTCTGACTTCCCAATTTCTAGGAAAGCCATTGGACAGAAGCCACTAAGCACCATAAAAGGGCGAAGCAACAGCATTTTAATGGGAACAAATCTAGGTTTTACAGAGTCCTAAAGCTTATAGAATTTGGGGGATGGAGAGGCTTCCATAAGAAACAGATAAAATTAAAAATTAGGAACAGGTCCAGGGAAGGAACCTATGGAATTGCAGGACACCGAAATGTAAGCTTCATTAGCTTCACAGCGAATCCTCTTCTGAAATTTAATGTATCGCTGTTTTCAACCTCACTCAGAGGAACTACGACTATTTAATTCATTCTTTGAAATTCAGCAAACATTTATTAGGAGCCTAAGATTTTGCCTGATGCCAGAAGAGACCACAGATAAAACACAGAGGAGCTCTGGGAATCCGTGATGCAGTTAGAACAGAAGCGCTCATCAGAGAGCTGGCCTACCCCTTGTCAGTCCCACTGAAACTCACACCCATCACAGCAGCTTCAGAAGGCAGCCTCCTCTGGTGCCTGCAGCAGTGACCAGGGTCCACCTGGTTACTTGAAGTGCATGAGCTCAAGGACACTTGCGAAGATTCAACAAAGCAGTGTGTTCCTGTCCACTGATTCCCCTCCCTTTTACTTGCTCTTCTTACAAAAGGAAAGAACATAATGAGTTTGCTCAGTTTTCTGTTGAGCTTCCTATTTTCCTCCTGGTACCCATAACCTAGAACTTGGCCCAGCCCTGCTGTTTCCAACTCAGCAGAAAAATGTTGACATTGATTTCCTGGGTTTTCTCTGAAGGCCAAGGGATCAGTTGTAGCCACAGTGAGCACAGAACATTCTGAACTGAAATTCGGAGGCAGCAAGCTGCCGAGGAGCGCCAGATCCTTCCAAGTTCCACTCTGCTAGCACAGTGCTTGATTTACTAAAGGCACAAGCATCAGTGAACACATTCTTAACGCTTTTTTCACAGCAAACAAACTGGAACTCCCTGACCTTAGATTTGTTTGGGGTTCAGGGAAATGAAGAACTATGGTCACCTAACGGCAGGCAAGGATCCCTGAGGATCTGTCCTCTAGGCCTCACCGCCCCCCCAAACCATAGCACGTCTGCTTCCAGGATCTGTTCAAAACTTGCTTCTTTAGCAAAATGTGAGCATGTGTGAGGCGCAGGGCACCCCCTGGGCACATCAGATGGCATGCCTGTGGTGGGGGCATATGCTTAGCAGATCTGTGTGCCAATTAAGGCGCTCTAAGTGCTAAATTTCAATCACCGCCATCCCAGGAACGCTGATCAGAGGCAGCGGGGTGGCTGTTTGTTTGAAGACACAGAATGATGTTGCTGCTCCACCTCAGTAGAATTTTGCCGAATGGGCCTATAAATCCCCCACCAAGAAAATGGGGGTGTGGGCATAAAGCATTTCTAGGTAGTCGCTCTCTTGATGCAATACAGCAGCAGTAACTAAATAATGAAGTTCAGCTGGTCACAGGCCGTGTCTCCCATTCATCTGACGAGGGAATTCAGAGGGGCCCCGGAGAAGGAACCCTTTAGCCCAGCAGGTAACGGTGTGGAGCCACTCACACACGCACACGGAAATTGTTTAAGCAATTCCCAGGGCAGGCGGGCAGGGAGGTAAAATGCGCTCGCTTCCTGCCTCTTCTTGCAGGGTTAGTAAAACTAAAATGCCAGTGATACACCCAGGCAGTTTATCAATACTGCACCAGAAGAGGAGACTTTTATGGCATTTCAAAGCATATTTGCTTAAATCAATCTATTTAATCTTTCTGTTTTCAGAATAAGAGCAAGAAAATAGGGAGAACTGCTAACCTTTGGTTATGTTTTCAATCGATTATTTGAGATTTCGCTTCCCTTTTTTTTTTTTTTCCTTTACTACCTGCATGTATTATTTACTACCTTACTCCTGGATAATGATGCATCCTTATATTAGATCTGTTTGGTTGGTTGTTTGTTTTTCTGTTCTGCTATTTAATGGAATCAGTACCTGTTTAAGGAGCCACAGCCAAAATAATGACACGTAAATTTAAATCACTACATTTAAATAAGAAAAAACAAAAAATGCAATTCTCTGCCTATTCTGGTCCTATTTGCCTACTTTTTTTGTGTATTTTTCAAACTTTAAAAAAATCAACAGAACTGTTTAATCAAGTGAAATGTTATATGTACTTAAATAATATCCAAATGCTAATCTGCTTTTATTCATTCAGCAGATAATTTTCATGTATATACTTAAACTCTATGAGTTCAAGTGTATAGCATTTAATTATAAATTCAATCAATGAGAGGAAGGTTGTTTTGATGAACATACACTCAACCAAAGTGGTATATCCATCAGCATCCCATTTGTTTCTACATCTTTTCAGTATATAGTACCAAAATATCCCTGATTCTAAACAGTAAGTGGTTACCATATGGCAATATCCTGTTAAGGTTCCTCTGTAAATCTTAGATATTATGTTTAGATAGCTATATCCCAAATATTTATGGCTTGACAACGTCCACCAACACTGGAGCAGGACCTCAACATCCAGTTGTTTTGAGGATTTTCTATAGTGACACGTCTCAAGTACCCCCCAACCAGGCTAGGAGCTGCTCTAGGACATCTGACCTATTCTTTTGCTGTGGCTCCTTCTTGCCGCATCCACTGCTGTAAGCAATGGAAGGAACTTCATGTAGAGTGAAGTCCATACTCACAGTGAGAATGCTGGTGCCCACTCACTAAGCTGCTGCTTTCAAATCATCCATTCCTTAGAGGGTAGGAGGGTGCCAGAAACAGTGCCAGGTCTGTGCACAAATGAGTGAGGGCCTCCAAAAGAGTGAGCAAAGGCTTCCTCCCTAACACTGAGCCAAATTATCACCACCTGGGCTCCCCACCGATCAGCCCTTTGCCCATAGCCTTCCAAATCTACTGAATAATTCCATCATCAACTCTGGCCCCTCACCCTTCTCTGTACAGGGGGGTGAAAAACCATCACAAAGAACACAGATTAAAAAAATGCCAATTCACTCCTCCCTTCTAGTCCCAACCTCTTTCTGCACTGGGTTACAAAACAACAGCATTCGTCAAAACAAATAGACACTAGTATGTGGATGACTAATAAGAGTGTTCTGCTGTAAATTAGCAAAACCCAGTGAAAAATGTTCTGTTGTATCAAAATGGCAAGGCAAGCCTTTTTTCCAGGTATGTGTTAAAATGAATTAACCTGGTGGCAGCATAAGTTAATATACAGGCAGTCTCTATTATGCCAGTTACTAGTCGTGTAACCCCTTTGAATGTGACAGCATTTTTTGAATTATTAACGTAAAATATAATTTAGAAACGATACCCCCAAACATTTAAGGGACCCCTAAAACACCTTCCTGGTAACTGGATTCTACACAGCATACTTTAGAAAACTTCTGTACTAAGTACTAGGCTGTAGAGAACCAAAAAAGAAGTAGCATAGGAATTTTCCATTTCTTTTCCTAAAAAAAAACAAAAAACAAAATTGTGTTTTCCCCCTTTTTCTTTACTAAATTAAAGAATGTACCCCACAGGAAGCGTACGGAGGGTTGGTGGTGTGTCAGTGTATTTGGCCTGGCTACTGTCCTTCACCTTCTCTCATCTTCATCTCAGGGAAATCTTAGTAAATGGGACATGTCTTCTCATTTTTCAATTACTAATGATTTGCATTTTTTGTCTTTGTGTCCAACTGTGGGAGCAGTACCTAATCTTAAAGGAGACAAAAATGCGGGCTCAGTCTCCTTAACAGTGATCAATCTGAGCTACAAGATCCTAAAGTCTCTTTCATTCCTGATGGTCTATAGTTCTAAATCCTGAATAATGTAGATGGTGACAGGGTCCTAGTCTATAAAACAATGCGATTTCTTTTTCCTCTCAGTCATTAGTGATTCAGGGCTGGCTTGGGCAGGTGTCTCTGTAATTGTAACACATGGGGAGACTCCACAGTGCTCAGCCATGCTAATGTTCATAATTGCTCTTGCCTGGGGTGGGCCACGGTCTGGCTCTGGTGAACAAGAAGACAGCCATATTGAAGATGCCAGCAGGTTGGGCGGGGCTGATGCTGGCTACCTTTCCCTTCCCCCACCAGAGTCAAGCAGGCCTTGGTGTTTCTTCCTTGTCCAAACTCAAACAACCTCCTCCATGTTCACTGCAGCAGTTACTAGAGACCATTTGGTTGGATGTATTTAGAGATATCGATGGAAGCAAATAAAGAGGCAGAAAATTATAAGGAATCTGAAGAGATTTGGAATAATCTTTCATGGGGATTGAAGAGTTGGATAAAATAAGAGAGGGCTGTTCAATGGCCAGAAATTTGTTTTGCTTTTGGTTGTTTTCTTTGCACTTCAATTTTAGGGAAAAGAAATAAACTCATCATAGTGGTTTTCCTTAAAATATGCACGTTCCAGATTGTGTCTTTGGCTCAGT